CTTTATGGCCATGACATAAGATGTTATTGTGAGCCATGAATTGAATTATTATGATGTATGTTCTTGAACCAATAACTAGATTTGGGGCTGGATGGGGAGCTTTTGGCTCAGCCCTTTGCTTGGCCTGTTCACTGATCCTTCAGCCTTCATTGATTCTTCATCGATCAGACTTTCCACTGATCTTCCCAAAATGCTGACAGTAGAGACCAGCAGTGCTGGGTAATTCAGTCAGTAGAGGAAGGAAAGAGAGTCAAAGTTCTCAGATTTTCTTTTGCTTAGCATTGTATTAGGTTCTGTGTCAGTCAGTCAAGGCGAGACCTTTTTTTTAGTTTTTGTTGTTTTTTATTGAAGACACATTGCGTCATAACATTTTATGTCTCAGGTACTCATTGTTGAGAATAACATTGGATATTCTATATTCAGTTCACCTAAAGGTCCAGATCTATCCTTCAACCTTTACTTGGGGAACTATAAGTCATAGCTACCAAACAATGAGAGCCCAGCGTCAGACCAGTGGCAGGTCTAGAGTCTAGATGGCATCTAGTGACTGTCAAGTGGGGGAGGAAAGGGCCTTCCTGACAGGCTTATAGTTCTAGGGCAGAGCTTTGCCTGGCGTGCAGTATTCTCCCCAGTCAAGTGAACCCAAGCGTCCCCCACCGTCCCAGGGGCATCTCTGGACTCTTTCCTCCTTAGGCCTGCAGCAAAGCACTTCCCCTTCCCCCTCTCTTGAGTCTCACTGGAAGGTGTCAAGCTCCCCAACTACACGTCAGTCACTGAGCAACCTTTATTTTTGTTTTATAAATGTTCCTCCACTACTACCACCATCTTAAGCCTCCTTGGGCCTTCCTTCTCCCCACTCCCTCTTACCTCAGAAACCTCAGTTTGGTTGTCAGTGTCTGCTAATTTGTCAGACATCTGCTTTGTTTGTGTTTCCTTACGCTACCCATATCTGTGAGGGAGGCACAGAAGGCAGAGATATTTTCATCTTGGTTGTAATCCCTGTGGACTTCCTTCCACCACTTCACCCATGTGCCACCCCCATAGTCCCGTGTGCTCTACCCATCCCAGTTTTGGTCGTGTTAGGTTACCCCCCTATCTTTGCCAATGCAAACAATGCCGGAATGTGGAGAATCCTTTCATTCAATGTCCAAAAGGAAATAAGGGTTTGCATGTCCTTGTTGCACCATCTGCTCACAAACCCTAATCCTCATTCCTGACTGCAGATGTTGCCACATGTGGGTGATGAAGGAGAAGGGCCAGTTCAGGGACCCCAGTGGCTGTGCTCTGGGTAACACTGCCTGTCCAACCCAAGAAGAGCCTGTGGAAAGTGGCCACGTCCCTGTGAGTGTCACGAGGGTGAGGAGCTCATGTCTCACTGTGGCCAGTGATCCAGGCTCAGTATGTGGCCCCTGGGGCCGCATCTGGTGCCAGTCAGCTACTGCAAGTCAGAAGATGCAAGGGGTGTGCATAGTGGGCAGGAAGAGCTGAGCAAAAGTGCCCATGTGTGGGGATGGCAACCCAGACAGGCACTGGGGCTGAGACGTGGTGGCCAAAACATGAGTGAATAGAAACTGACCGGACCTCAGCCCTTTAGGGGTAGAGGTTTAACGTTAAGGACTTTCTGGGTAACCTTGGGCAAGCCACAGCCTCCTTGAGTCTGAGTTTTTATCACCAAGGATAGAGATAAATATTTATTTATTTATGCATACGGAACTGGGGTACAGGTTAGAGGTGCAGGGGCAGTGAGTGGATTCACCAGAGACAGAGTGGGGAGCAGAACAGGCCAACTGACAAAATATACTGCTGAGGTGAGCAGCAGGTGGGTCAGGAGCGGTCTGCCGTGTGGGTCAGTCACCTCCAGGGCAGGTGGGGATCGAATTCATGCTGAGGTGGCTTTAGATTCTTAGTGCTGTGCTTTAACCTGCTGCGCCACCAGGAAGGTCTGAGATAAATATTTCAATCTGCAGTATCGAGGTACTATGTGAGTACAAGGAAATGCAAGATATGTTCATAAAGGAGATATCATCGAGTTTCACTTACCACTCACTTTCAAACAATAGAGTGCCAGATTCCTTTATGCATTAATCCTTCCTAATTATCATTATAACTGAAAAAACTTCTCAGTTTTTAAATGTTTTTACCAAATTATTGACGCTTTGAGCCTAAAGAATTCAAATTGTCTCCTGTGATTTATTATAAAACTCAGACTCAGGGAGGCTGCGGCTTGTCCGAGGTTACCCAGAAAGTCCTTAACGTTACCTGCACATCACCCCTTGTGCAAGTCTCCTGTTCTAGAAGAGAAACACTTAAAATTTTCCCACGACATCAGTGTGCCATTTACAGCTACGTGTTTAAGTAACACACTCATGTTACTTTTCTTGATTTTCTGGGTTAACTTCTGGCATTATCTGTCAATTCACTGGCATAGAATGTGAGGTGTTAACTCTCCTTCCTTTTCCCCTGTACACAAACACAGTCTGCTCATCACCTTGTCTTCTTGACAGCTACTTGGTAATTCTGAATTTATTAATTTTGGTATTGAGGTAGCTTTGGTTGAAAACACTGTATATGATTCAGGGGAGTAAGTTCTCACCCCCCAGCCATGCATCACACCCCCCCACTGCCAGAGCACCGTGTCTCTTCATCGTGTGCCACGGGCCCCTCCACTCTTTGTTTCCCCTCTAGTAGACTCAACTCTGAAGTCGTATTCCAGGCTTCATTTTGGTATAATTGTTAGTTCCTGTGTTTTGTTTCTCTGTATTCCACACACAAGTGAAATCACCTGTTATTTGTCTTTCTCCCTCTGATTTACTTCATTTAACATAATCCCACCCAGTCCCATCCATGTTGTTGCAAATGGCAAGAGTTATCTTTGTCACACCTGAGTGGGCTTCCACTGTGTATGCACACCATGTCTAATCCATGCATCTTTCACTGGGCGAATAGACTGTTTCTGCCATTTGGTTACTGTGAGTAGCTCTGCCATGTTTATTGGCATGTGCACATGCCTTTGAATTAGCATCCTTTGGCTACATGCCAACAACTGGAATTGCTGGACTATGTGGTACATCTATTTTTATTATTTGGAGAAATGTCCCCAGTTTTCCACAGGGACTGGACCAATCTGTGATTTGGTTCCTTGTTTTGTCTTTTGATGTGGGCCGTTCTCACTGGAATGAGCGGTATCTCTTTGTGGTTTTGATTTGCACTTCCCTGATAATAAGTGATGCTGAACATTTTCTCATGTGCCTGTAGACAATTTTATATGCATGATAGATTGTTGGATACTGTTTTTGCCATTAGGATCATGTGAATTGTCCCGTTTTTTAGCTAGTTCTATTATTTTGAATACAACCCAAAGCTATCCCCTGACTGTCTAATACTCCTCTTGGGATGTTCCTACTCAATAGACGTTCTCTTTATATGAACTTGTCTTCTCTGGTACCTTCTGACATACTCTAACCCAGGCAGCCCACAGCTCTCAGCCTGGGGCCCCCTGCCCCTCTTCTGCATTGACTCCTAAAGCTTCCTGGTTTATAATTTTCCTCCCACGGCCTCCCTCCACTTACTTCATGTTCTCCCATGCATCCAGAGGCTTTCTGAGAAAGTGAGATGGAAGTAAATAAACATTTATGACCTTGCCTGTCTCACAGTCTCCTATTTGATGGATAACTTAATTGGTATGACCTTTCTACTGAAGCTTTGGAAAATTAAATGGTAACATGATTTACCTGAATAGAGTAGAGAGGCCAACTAAACATCAGAGCTTCTCCCTTCCACTTCCTAAATTCATCATGACTTTGCAAGAAGGTTCTTTGTGCTTTGAAGTGCCCCCAAAACATTCATACAGGAAAATAGCTAAGCCAGTGCATTCAGTTGGGAGTGGCAAGAGAAGAGACAGTGCTTGCAAGACCAGCCTTGATTGGAATCAGATTCAGTAAAAGACAAAAGCTCCTTTCTGTTCTGTCTTTTCTGTTAATGCCATAAGATAACTTTACCTGAGTTGGCAGGTGATGCAACTGATGAGAGGAAATTTCAGTGGTACAACACAGAGCAGGCACTGTGCAGGTAATTCAGTCTCAGGGGAAGAAGGATGATTATAGCAATTAACAAATCAGAGACTTGGACACATGGACCATTGTGTGGCCAATTCATCCTTTTAATTAAGCAATTTGTCCAGTGGCCAGGACTGTCAGCCGCTGCAACTTTATGAGACCTTCTTGATTACTGGATTCTTAGCTGTGGAGTTGAGCGCGGATGCTGTAGAACTCTTAGGAAAGCCAGCCAGCTGGGGCTGTTCAGGCCACTGTTGCATACAAGAAGATTGTGGCATATTTCTGCTACCTTCATATTGCAGGTTCTTAACAGGACTTGAAATGTAGACTCCATCTGTCCCTTTCTGAATCTGGTATAGCAATTACATGGCTCTTGGTTGACTCCAAGTTCATGTCTGCTAAGAAAAGACAGAAAATTAAGAACTTTTGAGAATTTCAGATTTCCTTTTTTGCGGGGGTGGGGGGGTGGGTTTCTACACATGCCTAGATTGAGCTTTCCTGATCTGGCAGCTCACAGGATTCTCCTGCTTGCTTTTATCTCGAATACGGATTTTATTCCTCATCTTCTTGTTATTTCCTGTAGGTGGATTAGAGTGTTCCATTCTATTCTGGAAAGGATTCCTTGCCTCCTTGTTGATCCTTTCATGCTTTTCATGTTCATTCCAGGCCACAAATAGGCTTTTTCTTCAGAGAAAATAAATCATTTTCCTCTGAGCTAAAGAATGGTCCAGAGTTTTTATTAGCCCCCATTGCTGTCTTTTATTTTCTTAATAAAAGTGCATGTTTTTGAGATCTGCAGGGCAATGCCTGCAACAGTTACTTGTTGAACTTCAGTAACAAACTCAGCCTCCACCATAGTCCAGTCTTTTTTCCTTAGGCTGCCACTGTAAAACCAAGAAGTGTGTCTTCTGACGGGTTGACTTTGCTCCTCTGTTGGGTCCTCAGGTGTCCAGATGTACCTCTGCAACAGGGAGCACTATGGCTACCTGCCCATCCCCCTCAAGCCCCACCAGACGCTGCAAGAGGAGCTCGAGAACCTCATCCACGTGCAGATAGAAGCAATGAGTGAGTGACCGGAGCCTGGCGTGGCTCTTGTTCCATTGCCACCGCTACCACACCCGCCATGTCCCCTCTGCCAGGACTGGAGTCGCACAGCCATCAGTCTGCCTTGGCGGCAACATACTTACTCACTTCTTCCTTCATTCTTAAGTTTTTTGTATGTGAAATGTGAATATGACAAGGTCTTTGCTCTCTGGAAACTTCTGGTCCAAGCAGAGAACTCATTGTACAGCAAACACGTTCCACACAAGATCACCAGGTTATAATGGCGTTTGTGATGGGGACTTAAGTCTATCCTGTTGCTGTCTAACTATGACTTTGAACAAATCGTTTAACCTCCTTGATTATGAAATGGAGATAATGACACCTTCTAGTGTTTTGAGGCAAATGCTCCATGATGTGAAAAGCTTAATCGCAACAATAATAATTATGATTTCAACTGATAATATGTTATGATGCAGCATGCTGGTCCCAGTAAGCATATTTTGTACATTGTCTCATTGTCATTTTCTCACTGAACCTTTTAACAATTTAATGATAGGGGTTTTATGATCCCTATATTAAATTTGGGTAAATTGAGGTACACAAGGTACTTTTCAGGCAAGTAACTTGTCCTAGTTCATTCTGCTAAACAAATGATATTTGGGATTTGAACCACCAAAGCGTATGTCTTTAAACATGTTATCCTATTTCTGCTGGTCTAGCATGACATCAGGATGGGTAAGTGCTCAACAATCTGTAGTTACACTAATCCCCATGTGTAATGTGCAGCTGTGGCTTCAAGAGAAAGTAACAGCTCCACCCTGCCTGAGGAGGAGTTTGGAAATGGCTTCCCAAAGGAGAGAATAGTTGTACTGCATCTTCACATCGCAGCCAAGAAATGCTGTTATTCATCACTCTAGCATTGGGGTGGTGGGGGTGACAGGGAGGACACAGCAGGAAGTGAGGCTGCAGTGCTCAGGCAGAACTCTAATGTCTAAGAAGGGAGGGAGTTTGCAAGGGATTTTAGCAGGGAAGGAGCAGGTTGAAATCTGAATTTAGAAAGGTCATTCTAGCCGTGGAGTGTGGATGGATCAGGCTAGAGCTGCGGATGCTGGTTTCAAGCCAGAGACAAAGATGCCATTTAGGGCATAACATGGCAAACTAGGTAAAAGATGGGGAGACAAGCTAGAGCAAGAGTCGTGGAGCTGGAGAGGAAGCAACAGATTACATGAGTCTTGGGACACAGACTTGAAAGGACTTAGCTAAGTGTTTGTGGGTGAGCAAAAAGGAAGTAAGAGAAAACTTGCCAAGTTTTGACTGAAAGTATTTGGGATGACCATGGGAATTTTCAATGATTTCGAATACATAATATAAAAGATATTTGCAAAGATTATGAGTTCGTTTTTAGACCCACTGAGTTGCCTGTGAGTGTTTCCTATCCACTGCCCTGCCCTGCTCCATTGACAACCATAAATTCCTTACTCATCACACTACTCTTAATCTATCACCCTTTATCCATCATCTAGTGGGCACCCAGGAAATATCTGTTGAGTAATTAAATGAGTGGATGGATGAATTCAGGGAAAGGTGCACTGGGAGTTGTTGGAGAGATGAGTCTGAAACTTAAGTGCTGTCAGGCCTAAAGATGTTGATGAGTTGGGGCTTTCCCACAAGATAAGGTGGTAGCACAGAATTTCAAACAAATAGGGGCATGAGATGTGGGAGGAACTTAGGTAAGATAAAGACTGAAAACAAAGTCCAGGGCATTTTGTCAGGTAATTCTCAAAGCAAGAATTGAATCAGTAAAGACTGAATCAGAATTGAAGTGTTGAGAAGTTAGATGTAGGAAATAGAAAGCAGAGATTTTTCATTTAATAAACATGTCTGAGGAGGACAGACATTAACAATTTAAAAGATTCATCAGAAGATTCCTTTTTAGCAAACTTCCTTACTGCATTTCCAGAGGATTATGTTTGCAAAACATTAATCAGCTCAGTATACCGGGAGACAAGGGTGGTGGTGAGCAAATTGCACTCATAGGTTATACCTGTGAGGAGCGCAGCTTTCCTGCATGCCAACATCTGCATCCTGAAGTGCATGATAGTTTACAAGCATCTGGCCTTTCCTTGTCTCAGTGATCCTAGGTTTGGGAAATTTTTTTTTTTTTTTTTCAGTGAAATCGCTATTGTCCTCTAAGTGTACAAAGAATGAGGATAGTAGCAGTAGAAAATCTTCATGAAGAGGCAATGCAGATTGAGTAAGGACCTGGTTCATTGTGTCAGTATTTCTGGGACTAGCCCTTGTTACAGGGTAGCCCAGAGTGGACTGGGCCGCCTGTCTGCGGGACCTCACCTGCACGCTCAAAATTCAGTTATACTGCAGGTACACACAAAAGGGTCAATAACGGGTTTATTTTCAAAGGGGGAGGAGAAAGAGAGAGACACGCAATCATGCCCTATTTATCCCCCAGTGTCCCAGAATTCCTGCTAGCTCCACCCTTGGGTCCTTGCAGTTCTCTCCCTGGTACTACTGGGAGTTGTAGTTTCCAGTCACTGGAGTAGGGGGTAGAATCCAGAAAGCTGGAATAGGGGGTGGAGTCCACAAGACTCTACAGAGTTCCTTTAGGACATCCTTCCCCTTAACTCCCTTAGGACTTTCTATTGTGAGTTTCTTTAAGGCACACTTTTTCTGCTCCTACTCTCTTTTTACTGCCTTTAGTCCATGCAACAAGTACATGACATATATTTGGCACCAAGCAAATATTTGCTGAAGGCAGTGCCAGACCAGTGAATAAGGAATGAATATTGTGTTGCAAAGAGCATTAAACTTGAAGCCAGAATAATGGACTCGAATCCACACTGTCACCTGTCACAGTGTTAATTATATTTCAGTATACCTTTCTAAAAGGAAGGGAGAATCACCCAGAGTGTTTCACTCCTGCATATGTAGAATGAGGATAATAACACTGACTTGGCAGGATTGGGAGGAGCAAATAAAATAATAGACATCAAGGCCATATAACAATGAAGTGGTGCTGTTATTAGGGCTGTTATTACAGCTGTCAGTCTTGGCTCTAAGACTGTCAGCACAGGCAGGGCTGGCCAGAGCCTGACCTTCTCTTGGCTTCCCCAAGTGAACTGAGAACCTAGAAAGTTCTCTATAGTCAGAAGTTCAATATTGTTAGTATTTTAATTATTACAAATAGGCACTCACCATACTAAGCAGGTAGAATTCATTTGCGAAGAACCTGCAATTTAAAGCTGTTGTTCTTCACCTCCCCATCATGCCATCTCTAGCGCTGGCACCAGCTGAGATATGGTAGTTTGCTTAATTCTCATGTTTAGCAACCTTGTATACTTTTGCTGTAATCTCGGGCTCTGAATTTTAAAAGAACATAAATGGAATTGGAGAATAAATCTCAGAGGGTAATAATGCAGAAATACAGACAGGAGGCCCATGTAGGGAAAAAGGCTGGTGATGCTGAAATCAGACCTGAAAGTGGCTTCTCAGGGAGGGTGAGCTAGCACCTTGCCCAGGGCTGGAACCCAATGGGCAGTAAATAAATGGCTGCTAATAGTCTCTTTCCACTGAAGCATTCAACAGGCATTTGATTCATGTACATACATCACATATCTACTTATAATATGTAATGGTACTGGATAGTCAAAATATATTGTAACCATTCCCTGTTTTTGGTAAGATTATATTTAACTTGGGAGTTGAGACAGCCATGAAGATGACCCACACAAGTAGTATAATGCCCTGTGAAAAAAGGAGATAGACCCACAATGAGAGTTGGAATAGGGAAAGATTGTTGTGGGTTGATATAATCTAGGAAACCATCAGTTCTGGTTTTTAATCTGGAAGCTGTAGAAGGACCCTACAGACAGAGGAAACAGACTGAGCAAAGACATTAGAGAAAGAAAAGGCATTCTCAACCTGGAAGAGAGTAGAACAGCAGGAGGAAATAGTTTAGAGAGAAAAGTGGTTTAGCTGTTGTGGTCCTGGAATGCCCAGCTATTCTGTCCTAAGAGGACCCATCCTAAAAGCATAAGGGGCCAAGGGGGCTTTGGAGAAAGGAGACTCAGCCTAGAAGCACTTATTAAAGGCTGGCTATGTCCTAGGGATTGTTAAAGGTGCTGAGGATACAGCAGTGAGCAAGACCTGTAGAAACTCTGCTTGGTAAGGATTTAGACAACAATACAGAAATAGATCATAAATCAAGGAAGCAGACCCATGAACATGGGTGGTGGTGGCAGGGTTGGGGCGGGGGCACACCTAAGACATAGAGGACTCCCATGCTAGGAAAGACATGGGTGCTCCAGGCACAAAGGGTAACATGGCTGGGTATGGACATGAGTTGCTGAGTGGAAGGAGCTGTGGGCGTGGAGGAAGCAGCAGCAAGAGCATGTGCAGACTTATGGCCCCAGAAGGAGCGTGAGTTTTACTCATAGAGTAATGGGCATCCATGTGGGGCATGAGGGGAAGCTTAGCATTTAGAAAAATCACTAAGGCTGTGGCATGGGCAGTAGAATGTAGGGAACTAGTACATCTGTCCTGGTGAGAGATGATGCTGGTCGGATGCAAGCTGTTTCAGGAAGTGATGAGAAACACATTTTGGGGGCAGAGTCAGCAGATCTCACAGAGACCCGGATACAGCCCAGGAGGACAAGGGAGGAAACAAGGATGGTGCCAGGATGTTGGCCTGATACACCATGCAGTGAAAGGAAAAGGTGTCATGGGGAGCGAAGTTTTGGTCATAGGTGCTTAAGATGTTTATTAAATATCTGAATGGAGAGGTTAGCAGGGAAGTGGTTATAGGAAGCTGGAGTTCAGGGAAGGGAATCCAGCTGGCGACATTTGAGAATTGTCAACACTGTAAGAATATATGAAGCCGTGGAACAGGGTGAACTTGTTTAGTCAAAAAGAGGAGAGAGAAAAGAGGAGAAGGAAGAGGACAGATCCCTGGGGGAGATGAACAGCCAGGAAGCTGGAAGGAAAAACTGAGATGTGTTTCAAGAATG